GTTGAGTTCCAATCAATTTGGTCATAAAGATGAGCCCATGGTTGATTACGATTTTGTGATGACCACATTGCAATAATATGGGTATTACAGATTGTTTTAATAAGTTTGCATACAGATTGTTCTATAGTGAAATTTTCCCATATAAGATGGAAGTTTGGGTTATATAAGTTAGTATGTTTGAATTTGAGAAGTAGTAGTATTTATAATGGGAATAATTAATTTATTATTATTACTGTATTAAGTATTAAATATGCAGTACATGAATATTTTGCTTTGCATTATATATTACTTATCATTATGAGTATGGAATTCAAGGTTGCAATGAGGTCTTGTTTTGTTACAACATAATGGAACATCATACTCATGACACCATAAGTTTGTTTGTGGAGGATTTTTATTCCTTTCTTGTTTTTCAAGATAACAGCACCAAATGCATGCTTCCCACTTATCCCTCCATTCTAAAATATGATTTCCAGGAATTTGGCAGCATATAGGAAGTTTAGAGTTTTTAGTAATATGAACTAAATGTACTTTTGGAATAGGAAGTTTGCTATTAAATTGGCATGTTCTTTTTATATTGGACACACTTTTAGTATCTTGTATTAGTTGCCAAATAAGATAGCTACGAAATTCTTTACTATTAAGTGATACAGAATCTAAACTCATATAAATTAAATGAGCATTGACAATTGAGGTATCAAGTAACCAAAAAAATAAGGGAGGCCAGTTTCAACAAGTTGTAAGCTGTGATAGATAATATAAACGTCTCTGGTCTGCAATATCAATGCTCCCCATATGATGATTGTAATCATCAACAATCTTAGAAATTGGTAATTGTTTTCATGGAGAATTACCAAAAACTGCTCGAACCTTTTTAGTATTTGTGCTTGTTTCACGTGGACGCTGATGAACACACTGTATTCGAAATTCATTACCAGTAATTTTGTGAACTGTGCTTAACATTGTTACTGGCCCATTATCAACCCAAAGAACAGCAAGTACATCATTCGCAATTACACCTAAGAGTGTATTCCAATCAAGAGATGCTATATTTTGTATCTTTAATTCTTTTGGGAATTTGGCAGAATTTGTACAGGTTGTTCCATATGCTCCAATACCTTTACTATGAAGGTATTGAAACAATGGAATTGATGTGAAATAATTGTCCATATATATTGTAAAAGAATGAGTTGTGAGTGGAAGTTGAAAAGCTAGATAGCAAACATGTCAACCTATCTCATTGATATCTTTAATATTAGGCAAGTAGGATGCTTTTTCAATACATGAGGAAAATGAAAATGTCCATGTATAGCCTGAGTCATACAAGGCTAAGACTTTATAGCCTTCAGAAGTTGGTTTAAACTTCATACGAACAGTATGTGCACTCTTTCCAGAAAACTGAATTATCATCTCATCTATAGATAAATTAGAACTTGGTATATATAGTCTCTTACACGCATCTCAAACAGATGATGCAAGAGGTTTGATTTTAGAATACCATAGTTGTTGCAGCTCACTAGGATCGGCTATATGCAAATAACGTTTTATTTGCTCAAACCGTTTTTGTAGCATCATATTTGAAATATGATGTTTTGGTTTTTGAATATCTTTATTCCAAAGAAATTCATGTGATGAAATTCTATGAGTTCCTATGTATATAACAATAGCAAGCCATACTTTAGGTTCATTAATATTAAGATTATACCATGGCCGTCCTGCACCTGCTGAATTTTGAATAGCATACTTATTAGTTGATTCAACGATTTTATTGAGAGAATCAACTGAAAAAAACTCATAAAATAGCATTAAAGGTGTTACTGTTTCAGTTGAATGAAACTGGCTAGAAAGTACTGGATATCCTTTTTCATTAAATGGATGTTCAAATTGTAAAGGAATAAAATTTATTGGTTCTGAAAGTCGACTGGTATCTACTGTAGAAGAACTACTACCACAGCTACTTCTACTTATTCTAGATATACTCCTCTCTTGACCTCGTCTTTGACCTTGTCTTTGACCTTGTCTTTGACCTCGTCTCTGAATGCTAGTAGATAAAACTTCTTGTGAACCTGAGACTTCTGATTCTGCATACAATAAATTATCTTCAGTCAAAGTCATATGTTCAAATTCTATTAGTAATTCATTCAACAAATGTTCATCGTGGTGGTTGTGCAAAAAACTTATTTCAAATTCACTTTTACTAAATTCTGATGAATCATCAGATTCACTACTATTAATTTCCTGCTCGTTCAAATTTGTAAAATAATTCATTGCAATTAAAAGATTTTATTTGAAGTAATTTAATTTAAAAAGAAATACACATTTTTATTTTGTTTTTTATTTATTAAACATAAAATTTCGATC